CAGCGTAGGCATGCCCTCAGGAGGCCCTTAGCATCCTCCCAGGCTAGAAGAGCTACCAAGCAGTTGTATAAATTTAAAGCATATTTTGCAATAACAGCTTCCCGTATCAATAACTATTCAGGATCACTTCACTGTCCGTGAAGAGAGAAAAACAGTATAAAATGGTTAAAAACTAATTGTTTAATCTTAATTAAAAACAGCAGGTTTTTTTAAACTGTGAATTTTACACAGATCTGTTCCTTAAAACCGTGCTTATAGCAGGAATTCACTTGCTTGCACATTTTACAGTTTTCCTATGTATTTCTGACAGATCTAGCTGCCTTGATTTATAGAGCCTGGAGGATCAGTGTACTCATTTTTCTCAGCTGGAAACCCAAGCATAATTCCTGATTTGCATAACAAATAAAAATCAGTTCAGCAACGTTGGCCAGACCCCTGCTTGGGCAAAGCATGTGGCTAAAGAGCCAAACAGCTGGGCACAGATCTCTGCCTGCAGGCCAGCCCAGCACCACGAGAACAAAGATGTTTGCACCTCAAGCCTGATGTGCACTCTGAGAGAGGAAAACCTTGCACTTCACCGAGTCATAATTATGCCTAGATCTAGTCAGTCCCATAACCCTTCCTTTCATGAGAATTAAGGAGCTTTCTTAGCTCAAAAAAAAAAACAAAAAAAAAAAAAAACAAGCTACCTTATCTCAGTCTCATGGATGAACAACACATTAATGCAACAACTAGGGCTGTCACCAAAAGAACCTGATCTGGCTGAGGCTGGAGAGAAGGCTTTAAATTTGTATGTGATCACAAGGAATTAGACCTACATCAAAAGAGCATTAAGGACTAGAAGATGCTGCAAAGGACAGGGGAGGTGAGCAAGCATTGGATCAAATGCCAAGGTTTTTAACACTGGTGTTGTATTAGCAATCTCAGCTCTAAGCTGGCTCGCTATACTTGCATTAGATTTTCTTTTCTACTCCAGTACAACAACACAGCTCATCGCCCTAAAGCCATTTTCTAACACTTGTGTGTTAACTGGCAGCCCAGGGAAGTCTGTCGCTTCATGCTTACCTCTGTCATCAACAATAAGTTTGTCCATGCCCCGGGGACCCAGGGTAGTGCGAACAGCTTCTGCGATGACCTGGCAGGCATTGATGTTGCTCACAAGCTGGGGAACGCCCTGGGAGGTATCCGTGCCTTCCTTCAACAGGATAATTGGTGTTGGCTGGAATGACAACACACCACACAAGGGTTTACTGCAGTTAAAATACAATCTTGTAGTTGTGCCAAAAAATAACTGCCCATTGTCAATTATTTAACTTTCACGGCCTATCAAATTGGGAAGTCAGTTGACTGTTTTATGGCGTCCTTAGCTGCAATTCCATAATTAAGACCGAATCCCAAATTTACGAAGTTCATAAGATCGCATGGCTTAGAAAAGGCCCGTGGCTCCAAATAAATCTTACATTTTAGGGATCTGGTCCTGCAAACACTCATGCTTTATTTCAGACTGCAGCTCTAATTATAAAGTCTTAGGTAGACAAAGAAGTAAGGGAGAGCTGGAGGCTGAAGTCACTACATGGACAAAGGAAAAGCTGGCCCGCTGACTTGGAAGAGTACATTCCTGTTTTGAAGCGTTTGGTGGTTTAATCCCGACTGAATTCCCTGAGTTTCTACATCTTGTGGGTCTAATTACAGCACTCTTTTAAGGTATTTTTAAATCACTGACATTGACTGAGAAAGACTCGCATCTTTAAAAGAAGCATCTGCTCCTGCTCTTTAGGTAAGAATGTATTTGCAATAAAATAGTTACCAAACTCAAGTTAACAAGCAGCTCCAGCTAACACTAGTGACATTCCCTGGGATTGTACTGCAATGGTCCTGAGAGGCTGGATGCAAAAGGAAATAAGCAGTATCCACACTAACGGCACAAACAGCAATGTGACTGCAAAATTGGTGAACCACCAGCACAGAGACAGGGCTCAGGTATTTCTAACACTAGCATACAAGTCACTGTAGAGATTTCCAAAAGACCCCAATAAAAATATCTAAGCACTGTCTACACTACCGCTCCCACCAGCAAAGCTGCACTCAGAAGAAGCTGCTGAAGTGCAAAAATAGGATTTTTTTGTAACATAAAGCCAATAAAGGCTCACTCTGGTACCTTGCTGATGGGACAAGGCACTGGCTGACTTCAGAGTATAGCCAAGAGAACATCTGATGGGTTTCAAAGACTGGGGTAGGTGACACCTCTTCAGCATGCTCTCTGTAGGGGATTCACATCCAATCGCCCTTCAAAGCCTGCTAAGTTCAACTTCCCCCAGTGTAACCACTCAGAAAAATCAGAGCATGATGCCATCTCTTAGCCAGCCTAAGACAGCGGTTATTAATATTTTTAGAACTGAGGCACCCCTTGGAAAATGCCAGGTCTTAGTTTCAATTGATTTGGGTTTTTTTGCTACAGAAAAACAGAGCCATTTTTCTGTATCAAAGAATTCAGATAGATCACGAGTCAGGATGTTCTTAATACTACGGTTTCCTATTGACACCACTGAATCGTGTCTGCACACCCAACACACCTAACATTGCGTGGCACCCCGCAGCACCCTTGGAAGGACCTCGCAGTGCCCTGCTTGAGCATCACTGGCCCACGACACATGGAGTGGTCATGTCTCTGTTCGCTGTGGTTGCAACATGGGGGATCAACCCAGTGGCAAGACAGCTTAACAGCATCCCCGTTTGAGTTTGGGACACTCGCTGCACTGCCTTTGGGGGCCTTCAGAGGGAAAAAGGCAGGGCAAGAAAACGTCCTGCATTTACTCAAATCTAAGACGAGGTTATTCCCCCCACCAATCAGCATGGGGGAAGTGGGGAGTCTCTCGTCTTATATTCATGTACAAAACAGAGGCGAGGGTGGGCAGGTGGCTGTTGCGGCTCTGACTCTGGCCTCCTGCCCACCCCTACTTTCCCTCTACAGCTTCTGCCCTTTGCCCTCACCCCCTTTTACTGTCAAGCACAGCTCAGCTCCAGCTGAGGACAGATTCCTTCTTGGGCACAGAGTACAGATCCACAGGAACAGAGACAGACCTGGCCAGCCAGCAGTGCCAATGCTGCTGCATGGCCCAGCAGCCCCCGCTGTGCTTTCACATGCTGTGCTCCATGATCCAGGAGGGAACAGAGCCCAAGCAGTGCCTGACAGAAAGTGGGTGGGGGGGGGAAAGAGACTATGGACAGAAGAGGACAAGGGGCAGAGACTGTGGGGAGCAGAGGGGGGCGGGGAGGGAAGAGGAAGGGACTGTGGCAAGCTGGGGGTGGGAGGGATTTCATAGCCATTAGGGCTGGAAGGGACCTCACAAGATCGTCGGGTCCAGGCCCAGGCCCTGTGCCCAAAGGGCAGGAAGTCAGCTGGGGTCAGCTCACCCCAGCAAGATAAGCATCCAGGCATTTCTTAAAGGTATCCAGAGTAGGTGCTCGCACCACTTCCGGAGGGGAACCTATTCCAGACTCTGCAGACTCGGACGGTCAAGAAGTTTTTCCTTACGTCCAGTCTAAACCAGTCTTCCAGCAGTTTGTGACCATTAGACCTCATCTACCCGTGGGGCGCCCTCATGAACAGACGCTCTCCCAGATCCCGACGCACACCCTGATGTACTTATCGGCTGCCACCAAGTCACCCCTGAGCCTGTGCTCCTCCAGGCTGAAGAGTCCCACGTCCCTCAGCCTCTCCTCATCAGGCCTGCAAACAGGTGGGAGATTGTGGGGAGTGAAGAAGACTGTGGTAGCACAGATTGTGGGGAACTGGAAGGGGGGCCAGGTGGGAGGAAAGGGCAGAGGGTGGTGGGGG